TCTGTTATACTTTTCACATCAAGCACTTCATGAACTATTTATTCCCTCCATTTGGTTTTCCACTAAGACCAGGTAGAGATGTTCATTTTCTACCTGGAGAATCACCATTCTCACAGTAGAAATCAAAACTGTACAGATGTTCAGGCTTGTCCTCCAGGAGCAAAAATGGCCACTTCAGAAGAAAAATAACCTGGTAAAAAACAGGGTTAAATCACTTCTGGGAGAGTTTCCCTTGGGAGACTGAATGTTTATACAGTTTCCCTCATCTTAACTCTGCCTGGGGCCAGGCTCCTCCTAGGGAAAAGCTTCCTGTCTTTCTAAGACAGGTCATTCCAGTCTTGAGAAGGTGTTGGGGAACAGCTGCTCCACCTGTCCCATAGATTGAGATGTGAAGGAAGCAGCAGCCAGGAAGGTGCATACCAGGGGGAAAATGTCCCCCTCCTGCCAATCAGTTGACTGGCAGGATGTGGGGAGGGGAAGTGGGGTGCATTCTCCCAGGGCAAGGACCTTCCTGGCTTTCTATTTCAGCTGCCGCTGTCAATGGCCACTTGACAACCTATCCCCTTCCCAGGCAGAGGAGAAAGCAGGTTGTCAATTAATGGGCTCTCCTAAGGACGAAGCTGTTCCAGGGAACAGTCTTCTAGCACCCCCTGATTTGAGAGCTTACTTGTGCAGCTCTCTAGCCACAGGGATGGAGAAACATCTGTCCAGCTCCTGAGCTATTTTTCTACCAGAAAAAAATTATTCTTGTAGAAATGAATATCTGTATGAAGGAAAAGTAACCATTTATAGGCCCTGAACAAACACCCAGGGAACTAAATATCAGGCAGCTGCCCACTTATATTTGCAGACATAGTACATTTGGTCTCTGAGATCCTGAGTTAAATATAATTTCTAGTTTAGGTTTTTCATAATCCTACCTCTAGGGAATCCCTATGCGACTTTCTCCACTTGACTATTTTGCCCTGACTTGAGTCAGTCATTTTTCTTCTCAGAACTGAGCTGATCTCTCTAAATTCATCTACCCCTAAAAAGGTGTCCCATGTAAATCCTTAGGTTTCTAGTCTTCTATCCATATTTTAAGTGCACACCTCATGAAAGTATTCTAAATCTACTAGGACATAAAAAACACTCAGGGGATTGCCTTCCATATATCTGCCCCCCTTTGCAACCTACATGTACACGACCCCCCAATTCTTTTGCATGCTCCAAGGCTTTTTCCTGTAAACTTTGGATGTCGGTTCAAATGTTACTAAGGCAGTAACCTTTTTTTTAATTGTCTATAATTCCTTAAATCTGTTTCATCCATTTCATTATGTGCCTCTATAGTTTCAGGCTTGATTAAGGGAACAAATCAATGGAGAGGCCTGATTGAGATCACAAGCTCTCAAAAGTTATGAGGTGAGCTAGGGCATCAATATCCTCTTCTTCTGATTAACCTCCTCATTTATTGTCCACATATTGAGAAACTCTCCTTGCTTACTGATCTTTAGGGCTTCTTGCTACACAGCTTCTTGATTTCCAGCTAATGCACTCTTTTGCCCTGACCAGGCAGCTCCAGCTTATGTTCTTTCACTTGAATTATTTGTGTTTTCAGCAGCAATGGCTGTCATCTATTTCTTGAGCTGGTCTTTGGACCACTGTCTTCTACTGCACTTGCTGCACAGGACTCTGCAGTGGTGCTCCTTGTCTTTTCCTTGAACTTCTGCATTATCTAGAACTCCTTCTTCCCTGACTAATACCAGCAAACTTAACTGCTTACCAACAACTGCATGTAGGTCAGGACCCTACCTCCTGACTTAATCATACTTAAGGGGCAATCATTTGTCCCCACCCCGGCATTGGCCTATAATTGGTCTCTTAGGGAATTGATACTAAGCCATTCTCCTTGTTCATCTTTGCCTCCTTTTCCTAAAAAACACATAGATCAATTTCCCCTTCGTGTTTCCTCAGACTAAATGGTCACTTTTTGCAATATAATGCTACTGTAGGCAGTATCCCAGCCTTGCCACCAGTCACTATGGCTCTAACGCTTTTTTCCTTGGCTCTAGGTCTCTATTTTCTAAGGGGGAGACTTGTGGCTCCACTGCTGCAAATCTGGACCTAGGCTTCAGCACCACTCTTTCTTCCCTGAGTTTCTTTCCAAAAGACTGTGATCTCTTGTGTAAGGTTTTGGCTCTTTGGAGCGGATGACTGCAGCAATACAAGAGAGTCTTTTCAAAACAAGACTGCTTTTATTGCTCAGTCAGAAAACGGTGTTTTAGGGTCCCTGGGTTAGCATAAAGAGCAAGGTTTATACACATCCAATATCAACCTGTCTGACCCTAAGCAGCCAGGATTCGATCTCTTTTCCTTATTACAGTCCTGACATCTCAGTTCTTTGTTTTCATAAGTTCTTTCTCTCTCAGCTGACAGTTTTTAAAGTTAATTTAATTGCTGTATCACTGAGGTAACTCCATTTATATGTTACAATACAGAGTGGGTGAACTGAGTCATATAGGCCCTTTATAAAAATAAAACACAAATTCCTCACATCCTATATAATGGCCATGTAAATACTAAGCAATTATAGTCACATAAATGTGATTTTTGGTATTTATTTTCTTTTTCCTATTTCCTTTTTGATCATACAGATTAAAGTAGAATAAACAGACATGCAGGAATACGTCCTCTCAGTTTTTGCCCCCATCAGTTCTGATGTTTAATAGAGAGGGTCGCTATAGCACTTCCAAATATTATTTGGTCTAAATGTAGCTCTAACACAGGGATGGGCAATTATTTTGGGCGGAGGGCCACTTACTGAGTTTTGGCAAGCCATCGAGGGCCGCGTGATAGGCAGCCAGGGGCAGATAAATATAAATTTTCTAAATTTTTTAGTGGCCCTGTGGGCCAGATAGAATGGCTTGGTGAGCCACATGTGGCCTGTGGGCTGCATTTTGCCCACCCCTGCTCTAAGAGAATGTTGTAAACAGGTATACCATGTGTACTACCTCTAAAAATGGAAGTAATGTAACTGCTTCAGGGTGATACGTGGTGCACCCCAACAAGCTTGCTTTGTCCCATTTTTGGAGACTATGTGCATGGAGTGTGTGCAGTGTGTGTTGTACCTTGCTCTCCCTTGTACAGTAAAACATCCTCTGTTCCAGTTATTCATTTTGTATCGTACTTTTTCTCCATATTGCCTCAGCTAAACCTTGGAAATCTAAACTGGTTTCATTTACACTGTCTTTTGTAGATAACTCAAGCATAGCTCCTGAATCTAGTTCTCCTAGTGTGGACAGGACCTTGCATTAAACTTGAGGTTATTGTGCTATTCTATAAGGAGGCTAATTTTATTTATCGTATGTGCATAAATTTATGGAAAGTGGCTGGTACATGAAAAGTTTCATTTCACTATATCACTTAAGTTTTCTACAGGTCTGTTTATTTAATACAGTGGCTCTCAACCCCTGTCACATTGTGACCCTATGTTACAGCATTAAAGTTTTTGGTTTGCTGTCCAAAGGTAGCAATAAAAGAAAGGGAAAGTGTTCATCATTCCACACTGGGACTATCTGAGACTTTCTATTGGGTGTTCCAAGTCCCAAATTAAAAACCTATGGTATAATGTATTTTACATATATTAATTTACATTATGATTCAAAATACGGTTCTGATGCTAATCACAGTCCTCCATTTTAAACTGACTTACTCTTTTAATTTTAAAGTTATTTGTACTTCATTTAAAATCTACCGTCATTTCTAATCGCTGTTGCTTACAAACCTTTCTACTAGAACTCCCTGTGTGAAATATCAGGTACAATGATAAATCCCATCTGAGTAGAAAACAATAGCTATGACTGCAATGTCAAATGCTTTGATGAAAAAAAAATCTACTGAATTTCACTAGCTTCATTTCTAATTCCCACAGAGTTCACATTTCTATGGTGCTAAGCTGACCACTAAGGTAATTTTGTGAAGGTTCCACATTCACAGGAATTAACCTTGTCTAAAACACTTAACTTCTCAATGATGAAAATGCATTCCTTCACAATTAACATCAAGAAATCGTTTCTAACCTGATACTATTAATGGAAACCAGATGTTTAATTTTTTTTATTGATTTTGTTATCCATCTTCTTATTTCCTGACTCCTCCTGAATTCTTGCGCACACACACATGCACAGGATTACACAGCACATGACTACACACAGATGCACAGACACAGAGCAATAACAACTAGCAAACGATAAAATAGGTAGTCTCCTGATCCATGTGATGCAACTATTGATAAAGCCATGAAGGAGTCTGGCACTATTCTGCAACATTGTTTGTGAATTTCAGATAAATTAAAAACCCCTCTAACAGTTTCTTCTCACTGCCTGTTATTCATAAGCTCATGGTTTTTGGGTTTTTTTTGCAGGGTTAACTATTCGTAAAGCTGTTTACAATGAACTCAATGAAAACTTTAATCATTTCCTTTAATTTGAAAACCCTGATGATGTTTGCATTGCAAGTACTGTGAATACTATGTACTGATCATCATGAAGCAGTATGAATATAATTAATGTAATTATTTAAGCATGCACATACAACTTAATTGTGCCTTTCAGGCACTAGCTTGCAGTGAGGTTATTACAAAGGTGGAGAACCTAGGCAGTAGCTATGCAGTACATGGGAAAATAATTTCTGCCACTACACAATAGATAGTGGCACATCCTCCCCTCCTTCTTGGCTACCCAGCTTAGCTACCTAGTGCAGGTGGGTAGTGTTGGGCCACAGCCGGGCTGCCTTTCTTACTAATCCTTGTGTTAACAATTGCTTTATTGGCAGCCTCTAATGAATCTGCAAAGCTCTTTTGACTCCCACCCTATGGGTCTGTCAGAGTCTTAATCACAAGGTCAAGCTCAGTTACGAGCTATTACTCCTAGCACATATGAAAAAATAACCAGGTCCCTAAGTCACTTGAACAAGGTCTGCCCAAAAAGCAGGCTTAGTTTTTTTTTATTTAAAAAAATTACCTTTGGTCATCAGCTGTGTTCTGGCTGCTGTTTAGGATAATCCTCCAAAGGTCTGAAGCTACAAGCTCTTTCTGATCATTCACAAGGTTGATACTAGGCAGCTGTAGTTCACAAACTTTGCTTTCTGATAGACTGAATTCTCGGAATGCAACAAATGATTTCTGGAGATCATCCCAGTACTCCAAGCTACAAGGAATCTGCAATATCCAGAAGATATCGGTTACTTTACATTTTGATGCAAATATGCAAAACAGATATAGACTGTCTACTTTAGAACTTCAAAATTACTGAACAAGAATTGTCAAATGAAAAGAAAGATAATTTTACATCCATACATGGAGTCTGTGTTACTTCTAGTCATTTAAGTTAAAATATTATTTGACCTTGCTTTCAATGTGTCACTTTGAACTTCATCTTAGTGGATAAAAAATAGTTATTTACAGAGATGTACTTGGTAGCCATGTTGGTCTGAGACAAAAAGACACATAAAAAACCAGAACTCTTGGTTCCAAAATGATACCTTTTATTAGACCAACTGGAAAATGGCAATAAAACTGTCCTTTTCTGCAAGCTTTTGGGATCGAAGTCCCTTTGTCAGGCTCTGGGAAAAGTGTAGATGCTACAAGATGGTAAAAAGTCTCCATTTATTCTGGCCATGGCTGGGCTCAGTGCTTGGCAGCAGACAGAGCCAGGCTTGTAGCTCAGCTGGCATGGCCCCATCCCCTGTGAGCAAACACTGCCTGGGCCATGTCAGTCGAGTGCTGAGCCCGGCACTGCTCACAGGGGATGGGGATGGGCTCAGTGCTTGGCAGTGCCCCTCACAGCAGACATGCCAGGCTTTGTGCTCAGCTGGTGCAGCCCTGACAGCACCACTTGCAGGGGATGGGGGCATGCCAGTTGAGTGCCGAGCCCAGTGCTGCTTGCAGAGGACAGGGATGGGGTCAGACTCGGCGCCTGGCTGGCGCAACACCATCCCCTGCAAGTGGTGCTGCCTGGGTCATGCTAGCCAAGTGCCGAGCTTGGCCTCATTCCCTGAGAGCGATGCCAGGCTTGGTGCTTAGCTGGCATGGCCAGGATCGGCGGAAGACAGGGCCAGGCTCAGCGCTCTGCTGGCATGTCCCTATCTCCTGCAAGTGGCACTACCTGGGCTGCGCCAAACAAGCACTGAGGCTGGTGCTGCTCGCAGAGACAGGGCCAGGCTCAGCCCTCGGCTGGCATGGCCCCATCCCCAGGTTTGGCACTTGGCTGGTGAAGCCCAGGCAGCACCACTTGCGGGGGATAGGGCCATGCCAGCTGATTACCAAGCCTGGCCCAGTCCCCATCCCTGTACCCTGCAAGCGGCACTGGGCTCTGTGCTTGGCTGGCACACCCCCATCCCCTGAGAGTGGTGCTGCCTGGGCTGCACCAGCCAAGTGCCAAGCCTGGCGCTGCTCACAGGGGACAGTGATACGGTGTATAAGTTGAGGTTGAATTTTAATAGTTAAAAATTGGGCTTTAAAACTCCACTTGTACACCGTGAAATACAGTATGCATAAAACACAAAAACTCTACCTTAGAGAGTTCTCATTATGTTTCAAGATGTCACTTATATGTCATAAACAGGGATCCAGGTTTTCCATTTGCTGTGGAAATGGAACATTGCAGACTGCAGGGAGCTTCTTGGGGCTGGAGGGAGCAGGGGGAGGAAGACTGGAGGTAGGGGGCACATGTGACTGGAGCGGGAGTGAGATAGCACGCATGGAGCTTTTCCTCTTTGTAGCTGGGGGCTATGAACTGAGTCACCCTGTGCCATGGAGCCCATCTGCTGCCTTGATGCCCTCTAACTCTTCCTGTGCCTGTCAGCAGGTTAGCACAGAGAGCCAGTGGCAGGCAGGTATGGAGGAAGGGGGACATGGGGCAACAGCACCTGGGTGGGGCAAGGGGCTGTGACATGCCAGGTGTGGGCATGGAAGGGACCATGGGCTCTTTGTAGCTCTGCAGCAGGTGGGAGAGTGACAAGCCTTCCTCTTCCAAGGTACCGTGTTTGATCCCTCTGCCCGCAGTCCAGGGGCTTGGGCTCAACTTTGGCAGGATGACCCCTCGGCCCATGCACACATGTGCACCCAGCAAATGCTCTCCCTAATCCTCCAGCCACCAGGCGCTCTCATACTGGCAGCCTGACTTGTACCACCCTTCCCCCTTTCCTTGTTATTTATTTATTTATTTTTTGATGGCACTACACACAGATGTGGAAAAAAAGGGTGCTTTACAGGAAGAAGCAGCTCATTACTTAGACCCAGCTCCACAGAGTCAGTATAAATCAGGCACTTCAGCAGGGCTTTTTGGCACTTTTATCTAATAGCTAATTCAGTCAAATATTAGATAAAAGCACCAAAAACCCCCCACTGAAGCATCTGATCTATACAGACGTTGGGTGAGCCAGGTCCAACAAATGTGATGCCTCTTCTGGCAGTGTGCTGCGCTCAGCGTGGGGGCATGTCAAGCTAAAAGTAAAGCACCATTTGTGTTGGTGAGTGGTGGGTGGGAGGGCAGTGATGAATAACGCTGCTGCCCATGCACTCCTCCAAGGTGGCCAGGCAATGCAGACCCTGCCCTTGCTAAGGCATGGCTTCCACAAAATTTTCTTTCATTCTCAGCATAGACAGGGCTGGAGTGGGTGAAGAAATGAGGCCTGGCCTCCAAGAGGGGCACTGACAGGGCTCTCGAGGGCAGGGTGATGCAGGTCAGGAGTGAGGGGCAGTGGCAGGGCTAGGGGGCTGTGGCTTGGTAGTGAGGGGCAATGGCATGGGCAGGGACAGAGCACTGGTGTAAAAGGGCTGTTCAACTCCATAAAGCCACAGGTAGGATAGCTGCAGCTGGACTTGTGTCCTGCTGAGCAAAGTGGGGAGAGGGAGCTCTGACTTTCCATGATAAAAAAAACACAAAATCAAATGCCAAAATATACAGGAATTTAGAATCTATTTTATTATAATGATTGAGACAACGGTAGGCTTCTAAATTGCTAAACAATCATTAAAATGATTAAAGCATTGTGCTTCACTTATTCGGCTGAATTCAGGACAGTGATTCAAATCACCGAGTTGAACCACTGTCCCCTGAATTGGCCAAATCTGAAGCGAATACTAGAGGCTTTGCACAGGCCTAATATATGTGTGTGTGCGTGCGTGCGTGTGTGTACGTATTAGAATCATAGAAGTAGGGTCAAAAGGGACCTTGTAGATCTTCAAGTCCGACCCCCGGCCTGGGCAGGAAAGAAACTGGGCTCAAGTGACCCCAGCCATGTAGGCATTGAGCTGCTTCTTAACTTGCCCAGAGGCCCCTGCTATGTTGCATATATTATGCAATGGAAGTTGGTTCCAGATCCTAGCCGCCCTAACTGTGAAGTAGTTCCTACGGATGTCTAATCTGAACCTACTCTCCAACAACTTGTGGCCGTTATTTCTTGTTATCCCGGGGGGCACTAGGGGAAACAAGGTCTTCCCCAAACCCTTCTGGTCCCCCCCTAGTAAATTTATAGACGGTCACAAGGTCCCACTTAGGCCTGTGTGAAGCGTCCAGTGTTCGCTTCGGATTCGGATTCAGCCAATTCGGGAGATTGATTTGATTCAGTGATTCGAATCACTGTCCTGAATCGATTCGGCCAAATCTGATTCAGAGTTTCGGCTACCACCAAATCGAGTGGTCAGGGGGCACCCAGGTGGGCTGGGGGAGCAGGCAGGGGATAGGGCCTGGCGGGGGTCCCCATATGGTCCCATTCCCCCTCCTCCAGCCCCCCTTTGCCTGCCCCCTACTTACCGGCATGGAGTCCAGGTCCAGCTCCCTGTGGTGGCGAGTGGGGACTGCCCAAATCTCCAAAGCTCTCTGAATCTTTTCCAAATTGATTCGGAGAGCTTCGAATTGACTCAGATCTTTTTATTGGTCTCCCGATTTGATTTGGATTCAGAGATTTGGCCGCTGAATCAGGTCGAATCTCCTCCGAATTGAATCACTGCCCAAAGCCTCACAGTCCTAATGTGCGCACACATGCACACACACACTGGCGTTTCATTTTAATCATGAAAAAACACGGATCATGGGGTTTTTAAATCAGAAAAAAGCCAGGATCCCTGGTCAAACTAAAAAGTCAAAGATGTACTTTATGTGATCCCTTGAACCAAGTAGTTCATATACTTTGGGAATGTCCCCAGCTCTGAGCATTTTGGACTGAAGTGCATAAAAGACTCAGTTGATTTAGAATCTTCTATTCCTAAACATCTAGCTTTATTTATTTTAGGGCCTTATTACTAATGTGTGATGTGGATAAATTTAAAGGAAGATGACTGCTATGGGTGGTACTACCTGCCAAAAATAATAGTTGTGAAAGCCTGGAAATAGGTTATATCCCCAAAACTAAGCCATGGGCAATGGAAATAAGTGAATTAGCTGCAGTAGGAAATGCCCCATATGTAAAATTAAGTGTAGTTGTTTTACCTTGAAACATTTATGAAAACCTCTTGCTTAATTCAAATATTTGTTATTTCTTAGGATGTGGCTGCTGCCATTGGTGCAATCCCATGCACCAGTACAGAATGGGGACTGACTAGCAAGGCAGCAACTCTTCAGGAAAGGACAATAAGCTGAATATGAGCTAACAGTGTGCCCTTGTTGCAAAAAAAGCTAACACATACTGAGCTGCATTTGTAGGAGTGTTGCCAGCAGATCAAGGGAAGTGATTATTCCTCTCTATTTGGCATTGTGAGGCCACATCTGGAGTACTGTGTCTAGTTTTGCACCCCTCACTACAGAAAGGATGTGGACAAACTGGAGAGAGTCGGGTGGAGGGCAAAAAAACGGTTAGGGGCTCAGACACACGACTACTGAGGAGAGGCAAGCAAACAGGGCAGTTTGCAAGTCAGTTCTCAGGTCAGTTTGCCGCCTTTATCTTTGAAGGGGAGCCTTTAAGGTAAGCTCTTTCTTTTAATTAAAAATAGCTAACCTACATATATTTAGTGTAAGTAGCCAAAACTGAGGAGTCAGACCAATACTTAAACCCCTTGCTTAACTAGAGTCCTGAGAAAGGGCAGGTATGCTAGGGAGTCTGCTTGGAAACTCTCACCTTTCCTTCACTGTAAGCTTGGTAAGAGGAAGGAACCTTTTGGGACATAGGAGCAGCAAACAGGCCAGCTTACAGGGGAATCTGCTAGGGAAGGTCTGCTTG